CTCTGCCTTCCTCAGTGCTGGGGTTATGGGTATGTGTGTGAGCATACTTGACTTTCATGCGGGTTCTGGGATCCAAACTCCCGTCCTCAACGCTTGTACAGCGGGTGTTTTTAACCACTCAGCCATTCACTAGCTGAAGCCTTAGCGTGCTCTGGAAGATCCTGTCAGCTGAGGTCACTCCTCCCTCTTCCACGTCACTGCTGGCTGTCCTTCTTTCTACGCTCTGCAAGCCAGTTTTCAACCATCAAACCCTTCAGCAACCTCATAGTCTTAGAACGTGTTCCCGTCCCCACCAGTTCTCAGCATCGATTCTTCTCCCTTAGTGGCTACTTGTTCCCCTCATCCAGTGCAGACTCGATAGTACACAATCTTGGAGTCCACGGTACGCTGCGACAACACTGTTTTAGCACACGTGCAATGGCCTCCTTCTTTTGTGAATAACTTCTCAGTGAGCGTCTTTTCTGATATTTGATAAGTTATTTTTGCAATCGGGGGCCACACGTCATCGCCAGTGGCCTGGCCCCATTCCCATCACAGTACCCAAGCTGAAGGCGAAGCTGAATCCTAACAGTGAGCTTGTGCTGGGTCCGCTAGCCAGGTGCCAGAGATGGTAAGTGTGCGGAGCAGGTAGTTATCCGACCCAGTTCTCCATGAGCCCCCCAGCCTGGCTTCTGTGTTGTTTTCTCTACTGTCATTCCTGAATCATAGTCTACAAATTCATGCTTGGCCTTAAGGTGGCCAAATAAATGCCATGTTAACAGAATGTACTCAGAGAAGGCACCCTGCAACCCCCACCCTTCTGCCCCGACCCCTGCCAGCTGCTCCCTGTAGGCATGAGCTCAGGTTCTATGAATGTAGCGAGTGCCTGCAGTCTCCACCCGGATCCTCACTCTCTCCTCGATGTCAATGTGTCTCCCATGCATTTGTTCACCACTCGCTCCCTCCAACCCCTCTCTCCTCGAAGTCCCCCTTCTCGCTTGCTTGCTCGCGCTCGCTCGCTCCCTCTGGGTCTATTCGCTCCTCCCATCTTTTTTTTTTAACAGAGTCCAATTATAGCCCAGGCTAGCCTTGGATTCAGTGGGTAGCCGAGGATGACGGAACTGCTCTGGCTCTGCCCTCCACCCCACTTCGTCTGTGCTCCTGACGTTTTCTTCTCACCCTCTACGCCGGAGTTCTTCAAAGAATGGCTCCATTGCCAGCCTTCATCTCCTCCCACCCACTCCCTGTTATGATTTCAATCACTCGTTTCTCAAACAGTTAACACCTGCCTCCAGTTCGGAACTTAAAACATTGCAAAAGATGTACAGCGAGCCATCGTCCGTTCACCCGTCTCCCTGGTCCCACGATCTCCCCATGTCCAGCTCCTTCCTTAGTCTCCAGAGATCACATGCACATATACTGATTGGAATTTTTAGACAAATGGAGGCATCTGTACGCATTTTCTACCGTTGGGCTTTTTTTCCACTAAAAGTATTTAGAGGCTGTCCTGTGTCAGTATATCCAAAGCTGCCTCGCTCTTCTAAATGGCCGCCAAGATCCCACCGTGAAGACATTACCAGTTCCCCTTTCTGGACATTAAGGGTCTTTCTGTCCTTTGTTCTAACACACACGCTGCCGTGAGCATCCTTACACATGTCTGCTCTCCCACCCTTGTGAGTGCTTCTGCAGAAAAAGAGCCACAGAATGAAATTGCATTTTACATTTTGAAATCAAATTGCTCTCCACAGAAGCCGTACCATCTCATCTACCCACAGCAAGACACAGGAGGGCCTTGTTTCCCCTCACACTATGAAAGAGATCTTTTTTAATGGCTGTTTGTGTTAGGTGAAAAGTATAATTTTAAATTCTTTTTTAATTTCACACATAGTTTTATTGGATTCACCCTCTCCTTCCCCCTGAAAACTCCTCCTGTACCCCCACATCCCTCTCCAAAACTCATGTCCTCTTCTTCTGTAAGTTTATATGTATGTATGCACGTATGTATCCTAGAACCTGTGGCTAGAGAGGTCATAGATCCTTGATTCCATTTTGCTAACCTGATGTTAAATCCAACTGTCTTCTAAATGCTTACCCTCATCCGTAGACTACTGCAGCTCTCAGCCCTCATCAAAGAGGCGCCTTTTGGTAGCAGCCGGTGGATATTTCCCACAATGAGCCACAGTACGGAGAATAAGTGATTGTGGGGAGCATGTCCCCCAAAAGGACACCTATAGTACGTCCTGCATCCAGTGCTGAGAGAACCTTGTGGAAGAAGAGGTGGAAAGGCTGTAGGATCCAAAGGCTGGGGAGGCCTGCTCTGAAATGGCACCTTGTGAACACAGCAGGGATGATTCCCCTGAACTCTCCACACGGTTGCCTGCCCAAGACTACACAAGTCAACCTCCCACCATGGCGAGGAAGGGCTCACCAGGCCCTACCTCCAGTTTAGAAGCTACAGGCAGTTGGTGTCTGCTCGGGGAGAGAGACTCCGTTTTCTTCCTGGACGAGCCCCCTGATAGGTTGCCCACACCCAGAAGGTCAGCCCTGCACTCAATCCCGTATGGAGAACACTAAAAGCACACTTTCAGTCTGCGTTTGTTTTTATGGATGTACTCAAGCACTCCTATTTCTCAGCCTTTTGTGTTTCTCCCTCCGTAAATCATCTGTTCTTATCTTTTGCCTGGTTGGAGATGGTCTTTTAAGGATCCTAGGGCCAGCCTATATTAGAAAAGTGCATTCCCAGCCGGGCGGTGGTGGCGCACGCCTTTAATCCCAGCACTCGGGAGGCAGAGCCAGGCGGATCTCTGTGAGTTCGAGGCCAGCCTGGACTACCAAGTGAGTTCCAGGAAAGGCGCAAAGCTACACAGAGAAACCCTGTCTCGAAAAACCAAAAAAAAAAAAAAAAAAAAAAAAAAGAAAAGTGCATTCCCTGTCTACGATATTAGTTGCACCTATTTTCAGTCGCTACCTAACCTTTTGTAATCCATGTTACGTGCCCAATGAAACAAACACACTCCTCTACTGCTGTTTCCCCGCCTCCTGATGGCAAAAACCGGAAGCCTTTCTTGGCCCTCACGCTCTTCAGCGTTCGACTCTGCCGGTCCATCTTGTGAATAATCTCTTTCAGCTATGTGCACTTCTGCACCAAGCCTCGCCTCCCACGTCTCCGCTGCATCTCTTTTGTTTCCCTAAAACTCCTGGGACAGTGTCCTTGGGAAGAGCCGTCTGCTCACCCTTGCTCAGCAGAGGCCAGGAGAAGCCCAGCGGGGTCACACTGGGCACTTCCCTGGCACCATTGGTGGGGTGTGCAGAGAAGGGTGTTACACACACCTAAGGGGTGTGCAGACAAGGGTGTTCACACATTTAAGGGGTGTGCAAACAAGGGTGTTGCACATCTAGGGGTGTGCAGACAAGGGTGTTACACATCTAGGGGTGTGTAGACAAGGGTGTTCACACATCTAAGGGGTGTGCAAACAAGGGTATTACACATCTTAGGGGTGTGCAGACAAGGATGTTACACACATCCAGGATGTGTGCAGACCAAGTGACCTAGGCTGGTTGCTAGACTCTTTTTGCAGCACATCAAACTTAACCATCTAAAAACTGCCCCTCCAACTTCTCTCCGCACTGGGCTTCTACTGCTCTTGAAGTCGTAGTGGGTCTGAAACTGTCTCCCCAGCCTCCCCAGACTCAGCGCGCAGCCAGCTCTGCTAAGGCAGTCTCTTCCACTCTTCCCTTCCCTTGCAGCCCCACATCGGCATCTCCACAGATCTTGATCCTTAAACACTCTCCTGCCGCCGTCTTGCACATTCCTGGTCCCTCTGCTCAGAAAACTTCATCTTCTCCCAGGCACCAGCCCTGGCTCACTCCTGAGCAGAGAACTCTGAAATGACTAAAACCCCCAGGGTGAACTGAGCAACCCTCGCTGCAAATGAGGAACCACAACAGAAGATACATTCTTCAAAATGGAGGAGGAAAAAAGGGGGGCTGTGCCTCTGTGGAAAGCATGCCCGTCACAAAACGAGGAGCATTGGCCAGTGCCTGTGATCCCAGCACCCCAGAGATGGTGGCGGGAGAATTCAAAATGTAAGGTCACCTTCAGCTGCATGTGGAGTTCTAAGTCACCCTGAGCTACAAGTGACTGTCAACAACAACAACAAAAAAAAAGGTGAAATATCTTCTCTGTTCACCTAACGATGCTATGCATATGTGTATGATCTGTACACACATTATAGCTGTTCCTTTAGACGCATCCCATTGGTGTTTGGGAGACGTTTCCCGCTGTTTCTTTTAATTGTTGTTTTGACTTAACTGTAGGCATTTTCATTCCAGGCTCCCCATTTCCTCTGCTGCAGGCCCCTTCTGCTTGGGTTTCACTGTTGCTGCAACTTAAGACCCTCCCCTGGAGAATCCAGTGGCAAAAGGCCATCTCCCAGACTCAGCTCCACACTCTGGTTTCAGGGGAGTCCAGCAACGGCCTCACCCCCACCCCAGTGGAAAGGTGTCCTAACGTGGGCACTTAAGCCATGTCCCTATCTTCTGGTACCATCCTGCTCTCCTCTCAAGCCCCTTCCATCAGCACCCTCAAGAAATAACCTCCAGCCAGTGTCACGCCAAAGCCCTCTGATGCTCTAAGAAATCCTTGGGTGGACAGTTAATTGCCCCGACAAGCTAGTATTTGGGGGAGGGGGAGTTTCCAAGACTCGACATTCCTGCTCTAAAGAATGCACCCACCCTTACACACTCAGACCTATCTGGACATTACTTGGGGGGGGGGCTTTGGCCTGGAGAGAGAGGAGAGGGCACTTCTGAGAATGCAGGACAAGCTGAGTAGGACAAGCTGAGTAGGCTGCTCGGGGTGGAGGGAAAAGGGAGGGGAGAGGTGCAGAAGGGGTGGGGACAGAAGGGCTGGCCAGAGCAGGACGCTGCTGCTGCTGCTGCTGCTGCTGCTGCTTAGTGTGCAGGGGACATTCTTCGTTGGGACAGAGGTGTCTAGGTGTCCTTCTTCACCGTCTTCAACCATGGCAGAGAACTCGGACAAAGTTCCGATCACCATGGTAGGACCTGATGACATTGAGTTTTACAGTCCTCCGGTGAGTACCCGAGTACCCCCTGGGTCCCTGGTCCTGGTGTGGAGTGAGGCCACACGCAGGGACCCAGGCTGCGTGTGGGTACCAGATCCACTTCTGGTGTGAGGGATTTGTGCCATTGAATGTGTGGTGGGCGAGGGCATCAAATGAGGGCGCCCAGTGTGTGGGTGGAGTGGCAGGGTGCACAGGATCCACCACAGGTGTGGAGGGAACCTCTAGTGACAGCAAAGGGTGAAGGTTTGCAGGGCTAGCGGCCCTTCCCGGGGAAGAGTGCTGTTATTTCCACACCTAAGGACAAGGGACCCTCAGGAGACGGCGGCGTCTGTGTGCCGTGGCCAAGGCCTCCCACTCCAGCCCTCGAGGTGCCCCGGGGACACGGTGCAGGGACCGGGAGTGTGCGTGGCGCAGCGGCGACCCGTCCCTCTCCTGCTCTGCAGGCATATGCCACCGTGACCCTGAAACCCTCCAGCCCTACGCGTCTGCTCAAGGTCGGAGCCGTGGTCCTCATTTCCGGTGCGGTACTGCTGCTCTTCGGCGCCATCGGAGCCTTCTACTTCTGGAAGGGGAACGACAATCACGTAAGTCCAAAGAGTGGCTGGAAGGGCTATCCACCAGAGTTGGGGTGCAAGGGCCGCCAGGTGCGTGGGGTGTTCAGTCCCCCTAGGTGGAGCCAGAGCGCTGGTCCGCCAGTGGACACCACTTGCTCCTTCCCCTTGGTGCTCTTGGGATACACGCCCCCCGCCCCGCCCCGCCTTCGTGGATCCAAACCCATGAGGGTACTGGGCACAGTGTAGACAAGCTCAGGGTTTCTAGGACGAAAGCAGGAATTGGAGAATGTTCAAGGATGTCCTGGACACTTTGGGGAAAGCCATTCTCTGCCACCTAGGCCTAATGCAGCCACCAGGTAGTTGTGAGACAGTGGGCAGGGCACGTGGCCTCGCTGAACGTCTCATCCCGGGGGGAAAAAAAAGAAAGAAAGGAAGAGAGAGAGAGAGAGAGAGAGAGAGAGAGAGAGAGAGAGAGAGAGAGAAAGAAAGAAAGAAAGAAAGAAAGAAAGAAAGAAAGAAAGAAAGAAAGAAAGAAAGAAAGAAAGAAAGAAAGAAAGAAAATGGTCCTTAAGGCCTGTCCCAGCTGAGAAAAGCTATAAATTTAAAAAGGACAAAAGGGAAGAGAGAATATTCTGAGCACAGCTAGGGGTAAATCTTTATCCCTAAGGTTTCTGTGTTGGTGACCTATTCGTTCCTACCCCCTTCTCTTTATTAAAACAGAAAGTCTGACTTCCTTAGAGGTGACAAATCTCTTTTAAGACTCAGTCTGGTCACCTGTGATTTAATGGCAAATGTCTCCCTAACTACCAACCTACTTTTATCTACTCGTTTATTTTAAAGCTGGATGGACTCTCTCACGGAGCATAAAAACTGCTCTGTCTGCACTGGGCAGAGCTCCAGTGTGTTCTCTAAATACCTGACTGTGTCCACCTATGTAAAAGGGGGCATTTTATCTTGGTGACCATTGCCGCACCGGGTATAAGCCTATTTCAACTAATGGAAAAGAATTCCATCTCCAGGGTGCACACAAAGGGCTCTTTCTTAATCACTGTCCTCCCAGGATCAGTGACTACTGCTTTTTCTCCTCCTCTCCCACCACGAAATTCAAAGCATGAACGAATCCCAGTACTTAGAGAAAATGGTGCTGAAAGCAATTCAACCATTTTACACATCACATCTTCGGCAGTCACTGCATAATTTGTATTTTTAACTCAAATGCCTAATGTAGATAAGCATGCCATTTAGCACTGAGTCTGTGTTAGAGACTATATCAAATTTACAAGCATCAATTTATAAGATCAGAATTGCGCTATGTTTTGTGTGGGTTTGAAAAGTGCCCTAATGTATTCGTATTTTAAATATAGACACTGGGCCAGATGCTCACCTCTGAAAGCAGAGAATCTGAACATGAAAATGATTTCAACGTCTACATCCCCATTGGTAGCAGGGTTGAGAGTGTCACCCTTTGGGAAATTTGATGGTGTTAGAATGTAAATACTCTCTTTTGGATAACAAAACCTCGATAATGGAAGTCATTGGGAGACAAAAATAGCTTTGCTTTTTAAGGTTTTTTGGTAAATATTTTGGCCATGAAATTCACAAAAGCATTGCCATTTGGCATTTAAGTATTTGAGGCACACGTAGCTAGCTGACAAGCTTCTTGGAGAGAGTGAGCCGATGCACTGAAGAAGTGAACTCCCTTGCCCCACACCTTTCATTTTACAGCAAGATGTTTGGTTGTCTGGTTCAAAGATTAGTATTAAATTCTAAGAATATAGAGGAATAGTGAATCACATTTTATTGCCAACAATCAAAGTTATTGCTATTTCCTACACAGACAGGAGAATGAAGAAAAATCATGGCAGTTCTTTTTTTTTTTTTTTTTTTTTTCTGGGAAAAAAAAAATGTCTGATACTGTTCCATATTATTTAAGTCTGGAAAACAAATCACAAAATTCGGAGTAGAGTACATTTGGCACATGCCTGTGCTATGCATGGGTCTACTTTCCCTGAATATAATTCTAAATCGCCCAAGCACAGCACAGACAAAAAGGTAAGTCTCCGTCAAGCAGAACAGCCATCAAGCTAATGGACTCCTCCTTTTCTAGCGAGACTACGAGACTACGTGCCTCTGTTCTCAGTTTACACTCCTCATCTCACATGACTCAGTCCCCCAGGACAGGTCTACTCAAATTTAGCTGGAGGGCTACCAAGCACGGGGTACTAATAATGAGGGGATCACTGACTGAGCTCAAATATTGAGGCCATTTTTCATCCACGTTGTTGTAAATGGAACAAGGCATTGAAATATGGGAAATTCCCATCAGTGCCTGAGAACTGACAACTCTACCCATTTAGGGAGGGGAGGAGACCATTGCTTGGGGCCTTTTTCTTAGATTAATTTTTCTAGACATTTTCCCAAACATTATGTAATTAATCTTATAGAACCGAGGCCTTATTAAAAACTCATTAGCAAATATCCTTGGCTGTAAAAGGCACCATATTGAGCAGAATTTTGGCAAATAATAAACTGCATTGTACTTGGCGAGAAATAGCCTTAGGTGCCAACAGCTCCCTGGGCTTAGAGCAGATAATGTAATTGCCGCTCCAGCAGCTCAGCTTCCTGCCCAGCTCGGGGGGGGGGGGGGGGGGGGGGGGGGGGGGGCCCAGAACTTTGGAGACTGCAGACTGCCTTCCACCCTCCCCCACTTCTGCCCCCATCACTTCAAGAGGGCACAGGCTTCTCCTGCAGCCACCAGGACGAGCATGCAAGATAGACCAGTTCTGAATCCAGAGGATGCAAGCTGAGGCTAGGGAGCCTTTGCTGAAGGAGTCAGTGGAAGCGGTGGGAAGTGAAATCGGAGCTGCAAGGATCAAAGCCAGACTGGCTACATAATATGGCAAGCTCAAGGCCAACCTGGGCTACATATTGAGACTTGGAGGAGGGGGTGGGGGAGAGAAGGGAAGGAGAAGGAGGAAAGGAGGGAATGAGGGATGACAAGGAACCAACTAACAAGGATTTCTAAATGGTCAAGTTCTTAGATGTTGCACTGCTTTGGTTTGTTGCTGCCAGAGTGGAGGAGACTGGTGCCAGGTTCCTGTGACGGCCACAGCTAACCCCGTGTACAATGGCTGCTCTGAGCACCCAGGGCAGAGCAGCGCCTGCTTTCTCAGCTGGCCTGCAGAAAAGGCCCGGTTCAACCAAAACAAAAACAAAAAAACAAAAACAAAAACAAAAAAAACAAAAACCCAGGCTTCCCTAACTGGGCTGCTTCTGGGGGAGAAGGTAACACTGGCTTCTGGGCCCCGTTCCATCTCTGCTAACTCTGAATCCTACACGTGGCCCCCGTGGTCAGAGCAGTGCAGGAAACTGCAGGCATCTGAGTTCCTGAAAGGGGGCAAGTAGGGCAGGAATGAGAGATGGTCACGCCAAGGTGGTGCCGGCATTTTTTCTCTCACCAAATGTAGACGGCTGCCCAGGAGAATGAGTGGGAGTGGCCAATCCATCTCCACCTCTCTGATGATAAAATAGTGGTCTGTGGGGCTAGTGATGAGGAGTTTCCTCCAAGTGATGACCCAGTAACAACAACTACGTTTTCTAGTGTTTAATCCACGTAGTAGTCACTCTTCATAATGCAGGAGAAAAATCAGACTTGACCAGAATTGCAGCTATTTACAGTCCAGACTGGCTGACCCGGCATGAGGTAGGAATGGTCTTTCTTCAGTCCTTTCTTCAGTTCTCGGCCTTTCTGCTTTGAAGACTTACACATATGTATATGTGCATGAGCACACAAACACTTTGTATGTTAGACAGATGACAGCCAGATGGTGGACGGTTAATGGAGACAGATAGATCGCTAAAGTCCTAAAGAAAGAAAGAAGAGAAACCCAGCCTCTGGCCCACCACACACAGAAAGAAAGGTCTAGCAGGAGAGCAGCAAGCTGGGCTGTTGGTTATTTTTAAGCTATTGCAATGATAAAGTTGTCTAAACCAAGAAAGCCCTTTGGATCATCTAATTTAGTGATAATATTTTTTTTTTTCCCAGAGGTAGTCTTTGTATCCCTGGATATCCTAGAGTTTAATATGTAGACCAGGCTGGCTTTGAACTCACAGAGATCTGCCTGCTTTTGCCTCCCGCGTGCTGTTGTGTGTAAATCATATCCCAGTCCTGTCTGAAATCTTTACCATATGCCATTCCCCACATCTAATCTTGACCAATAAACTTTAAAAAAAATCAATCTTCAAACAAAGATGCCACTGTTTCAGCTGAAAAAAAAAAATCTCTCCATAGGTGGTTCTTAGTCAAGGTGCAAGCAGAATTAGACTTTAGAAAACTAAGTACTGTTGCTCAACCCCCAACTGCACAGGCTTTAATGTAATTGGTCCAGACACGGTACCTGGAGCATCTATTCAGTAGCCAAGATTCAAGTCTTGGAGCTGTTTAAATAGCTATCAAATACTACCAAAGATTTTACTTAGAAAGCATTTTAAAATAAATCAGGCTGGGGAGATGGCTCATTTTGTAAAGTTCTTGCCATATATACTTGAGGAACTGAATTTGATCGCCCAGAACCCACATAATAATCCTATCACTAAGGGGGCCAAAACAGGCTTGCTGGCCAGCCAGTTTAGTTGAATTGGTCAGTTCCAGGTTCAGTGAGACTTTAAGAAAGGTGGTTAGTGATTAAGGAAGACACCTGACATTAACATCTAGCTTACACACACACACACACACACACACACACACACACACACACAAGAAATCATTGTACTAAGTGACTGGTGTATGGATGAAGTCCTCAAATACAAATGTATTACTGTTCATGGTGTTTCCATACGTCTGTGAAAAAGATGAACCCCACCTCACATCTTGCAGGTCTGCAGAGAAGCCCCAAATTGCCGGAAGAAAGCAAGCATCACTGACTCTTGTGTTCACTTCTAGATTTACAATATTCATTACACCATGAGTATCAATGGGAAATTACAAGATGGGTCAATGGAAATAGATGCTGGGAACAACTTGGAGACCTTTAAAATGGGAAGCGGAGCCGAGGAAGCGATTGAAGTTAATGATTTCCAGAATGTAAGTATATTTCACGCACTTAGAGAGTTTCACTGGCAAGCCCCGGCTTTCCCAGTCTGAGGAGAAGCGGCATCTCTCATGTGTGTACCAGTGGTTACTGTTCGTTACAGCAGCTCAGATGCCACCCATCCCGCACTTTGTAACTTGTACTCCTTGAGAAAGGGGCTTGCTTTGGCTTCCATGTTCTCAAAAGGAAGAAACACGGGCGAGTACACAAAACCCAAACCTCTTTGGGTCCAGTAGACCCGGCTGTCAGGGAGGGTGACACTGGAGGGTCACTCGAGCCCAGGAGTTTGAAGCAGCCTGGCACCATGAGAGTCCCACCTCCAAGCAAGAAAAAAGATTTTTAAAAAATGAAACGAGGGGTTGGGGATTTAGCTCAGTGGTAGAGCGCTTGCCTAACAAGCGCAAGGCCCTGGGTTACACACACACACACACACACACACACACACACACACACACACACACACAAGAAATCATTGTACTAAGTGACTGGTGTATGGATGAAGTCCCCAAATACAAATGTATTACTGTTCATGGTGTTTCCATACGTCTGTGAAAAAGATGAAAAAAAAATAAAAAAATAAAAATGAAATGAACAAGCAAGACAAGACAAAAAACCCTAATCCAGTACATGTCCTTAAATAAATGCGTTTACTTCTAGAAAACAAAAGATACATGGACTTAGAAATCAAAATAAGGCTTTTGTTTAATGGAAAAATATGTCATTGACAAGAACAAGCTCTTCTTGGACTTGCACAAAGTCTTCAAGAAAGACTCATGGGAACTATGTCGTTCCAAGTGATTTTCTATAACTTGACATATAAAATGCTCAAATAATATTCAAGGACAGCAAGAACAAAACTTTGGACTTCTAGAGAATAAAGACATTTTAATGACTGGGTAGTTTCCCAACAACAGTAGGTTTTACTTCCATATTTTTCTAATTTCCCATTTAATCCAGAAAACAGGCCTGAGTGGATTACCTATTACAGCCCAGGTTTTCTGGCATGGCCTATTACAACAAAAACATTTCAGCCCTCTTTTTGTTTTGACCAAAATTTAATTTACAGGCAACCTGAGACATTAGATTGTTCATTGACGCTTCAGCGTGCATCTGCTAACAGTAACAGAAGCGTCACTCCAGCTAAATTTCCAGTTGGCTGACAACAATCTTCTTCTCTTATGTTCTGTGATGAGGAAGAAGCATCAGTATTTAGGTTCTTCTGCTAAATCTGCAGACGAAGTAGGTGAAACTTCATAATGAAGGAGGGCTCTTGAAAATAATGTCTCTTCTGATAGTTTATGGGTCTACAAACATCTCATCAACCCATCTTCCTCTGATTGATGAAAAAAATGAAGAGAAGCTTCTCATTTACGCAAAAGCACTCCTCTTGCGGGAGCCAAAACACGCTTCACAAGTCCTTTTGAATTCCCAGCAGATGTTGGCATTAGTGCTCAGAGAGGCTGAGCATTGATGCCGACGAGGACTGGCTGTGTTCAGAGGGGGCCCTGCCCTGGGGACAGGCTCTGCAGCTCTGAGTGTGCCCAGCTGCACTCTGTTCAGTCACCACATTGCAAACGGTTCTGGTCTGTGCACGAGTATAATTTCTCTGGACCTATTAAATGCTTTTACTGCAAAATCCAGGACAGGGCAAAACATTTTTTCTCTACACTACTCAATATAAACTAATAAAATGTGGCTCCTCCACACACATCATTCAATCCAGGACAAAATTGAATACCTATGATATGCCACACTGTCAAAATATGCAAAAAGGAGTTGAGGATGAATTACAAAAGGCCCTTCACTCTTGAGAGGTTCATGTATCAAGAAAATCCTCTGAAAATATTTTAATCCCAAACCTATATATCTGTTTTATAATCCTTTGGTTCTTTCTAATAATGGTATTGATTGTGTTTTGTTCTCATAGACCAACAGGGCCACAAATATTTTATAAACTGATCAATTCTCTGTGATAGCTCCTACATTTCTCTGAGTCAGAACGGGTGAGTGGAACATTTTTTTGATGGATAGTACCTGTTATGGGTTTCAACAAGCCTGGACTTTTGAAAAGACATGAATCAGCCTCTGCGGTCATCTGCTATTACTTTTGCCCCCATTTTAGACCATCAGTCAAATGCGGGAAGTGTTGATTAAGGCTCACCATATGTGAGGATGGTGCTAGGCACAAGGGATGGAAGATGACTGACATTTATCCTTCAAGGACCTTCTGGTCCAGTCTAAGAGAAAGACACATGCCCAGAAATGTGCCATAATGAGCTATGGGTAGAGTGTGCTCCACACAAAAAGGCATCGCTGCCGATTAGTGGCTTAGCCCAGGCGATGACATAATAATTGAATAATGTCCCGAGGAATGATTTGTGCTGGGAATTGGACCAAGGGCCTTTCTTTCTTGTGCTAGACTAGCACTCTACCACTGAGCTATAGCCCCATTTGAAAAATGGCTTGAACTTTCACAGGGAGGGCTGGAAAGGATACCACAAAAGGATTCACAGTCCGATCCCAGCGTGGTCAGCTCAAGGATGGGAATGGAGATTGATGGAGAGGCAGGTGGGGTTATATCATGCAAGGCTCTGAACTGTAAACTGACACCTGGGACCCACCCCAGTGTTTTAACACAGTCCAGCATAGAACAGACACCTTAAGAGAGAGAAGGGCTGAAAACCAAGTGCTCTAAACTTTGTTCCCTGAGACAGAAACAAAGCAAGACTGAGTTGATATACAGTTCGTGATTTGTATTCTGAAAGACTGTAGCCTGACAAGCATCTGTGCTGTTGGCTAAAGCCAAGTTCCTCAGACCTGAGACCAGTAACAAGAGCCATGAGTAAAAACCAAAAATAGGCAGTAGTGGTGAGCGCATATGGGTATTCTGGGTTTTCAGAAAACAATTCTTTTAATATGTGGATATTTGAAATTTGTGATTTAAAAAGCTAGAGTGGGAAAAAGAAGACAGCATAACCTACCTAGAAGGTAGGTAGGTTATTGATTTCAAAAATCAATATAACCCTCAACTGTAATGTAAAGGAACAATAAAATGAAGGTAATTTATAGTGAAATATGGGTTTCATATGTACACGCTCAGCCTGCTGCACTAGCTGGCATTAACCAAGTCGAGTGTGTGCACTGGTCGTTCAAAGACTGCCAGTGCACACACCCGCAATGCAGATGGTCACCAGTGTGCTTTGGCAATTAAATGCTACGAAACCTTCTGACGGTAGGCATCAGTACCAATCTCTTGATGGGCATGGCTGTGCATGCCTGACACCACAGCACTTGAGAAGCTGAAGTGGGATTGTGAGTTTGAGACAAGCCTGAGATTCTGTCTCAAAAAAAAAATCAAAAACTAATTTATTTCCATTTCTCAGTAACTGTTTGTAGGAAACTCACTGTGCCGTGAGCTATGCTCAGTCACTGTATGTTTATAGGCAAAATGAAAATGGTATTCTGTGCCAGGCGGATACCTACAAACAGCTTTGTTCCCTAGGACCCAGGACAGTTGGTTCTTCAGGATTCTAGGGCTCTGGGGGACCCCAAAAGGCCAGAATACCCCAATCTTTGCATCAGACTCTTCCAATGATTTCTAAAGTGCCTGTTGTGGGCAGGACTCCCTTCCCTCCTTGAGGCCCTCTAGGGGTCACAGATGGGGCAGCAGCCGGGGCAATAGCATGCGGCTCTTTTGATGAACAAGTGTTGATTTTTTTTTTTAAAATCTTCACTAGTTGCCTTTGTTAGCAAATTTCCTCATTATCACTGACTTCTCAGGCCCTGTTTGTTTGCTAACACAGGAGGTTTGCCTGCCTTTCTTGTACTTCTCCATCTGCTTAATCGCTTAGTATATCTGGCCACTTGATGCGGATTTGCGGCTAGACAGAATGGTTAAGTGTGACTTCATCTCCACTAGTCCCACCCTGTGGACCGTCAGCAACCTCTGCAATGTGCGCACTGGCACAATTAACTCAGTGTTAGGTCCTCTTCAGGTGTAGTGGGTCTGCAGTGGACTCTGCTCTCTCCAGGCGTACTAGAATGCTGTATGCTGTCCTCCCAACGTGTCTCATGTTCAGAGAGCATGCACGTCTGGAACTAGAAAACAAACCACATAGGGAAACAGTGAAATCTCTCCCTCCCTTGTATTTTAAGCTGAAAGTCCTAGATTTACACTCAGAGTCAGAGTGGCAGAGCCTTGGGAAGTAACACAGCACACGCCAGTGGGTTCTCAAGCTGTATTCCTTGTGGAACCAGCAGGGCAGCCTCCCAGGGCTTGCTGAAAATACAAACTTAAGGTGCACTGCATCAGAAATCCTCACCCTGGGCTTGGGACCCAGCCCTCTGGGTTTCGTCCCAGTGACTCTGAGACAAACAAATGTTTAAGAGCCCCAGGTACAGGAGAAACTTGGCCTGAAAGACTGTTACAGTCACTTAAAAATTTTACTCTGAACAAGTTCCCTTTGCCCTAAACTGCTGGGCCTCAATTCTAGTGGTCTGTCCATCAGGGACATCTGGGTAGTTTAAGAAGACTCAAGAGACTGAGCACCACATTATCAATGTAAGAAGAATATTTTGGGAGGGCCTGGCAGCTGGGTTCTGTTTTTAGGTTTGTTTTGCTTGTTGATTTCAACTAGATCTCATATACCTCAGTCTGGCCTATATGCTCACTATATAACTAAGGATGACCTTGAACTTTTGACCCTCCTGCCTCCACCTCCCCAGTGCTGTGTCATCAAGCCTGGTTTTGTCGACTTTGTTCTTAAAAATCTTTCCAGGGGATGTTGGTGCCCAAAGCAGAAGCTGTAGTCAGACCAGGTCTCTGCGGTGTCGAGGGGCTGGGTCAGGGGAGACAAAGTGACAGGGCTTACATGGTGTGAGCGAGCAAAGAATGGGCCATGTGGGAAGATCCCCGTCTTCCCTCCTCTCTTCTGTGACCTGCAGGCTCTGTGGGTTTCAGGTCCCGGATGTGAGTAAGGTAGATTCCTGTGATTCTCCTCCAGCAGGACTTATGGTTTACTTCACTCTCCATTTAAGAAGCCTGAGCCCACAGCTCTGGGTTTATGCTTTTCTTCCCCCACGCCTGAACATTGACTCAGCCAGTTCAGTCCTGTCCTGCACTGATCTCAACACACCAGGAGGTTATCAGGGTTCAGACATGTGGTGGAGTCCACATTATTAAGCATAAAATTTCTGACCTTTAAGAATATTTAGATCATTTATTCATTATGAAACGACGTCAGCAGAATCAAAGTAAACACTCCAGGGACAGACTGTGCAGTTCCTTCTCACGTCCTCTTCAGGTGAAAGCTGTCAAGTCAGAGGGAGCTTTGTGCCGGTGTGTCCCTTAAGGCTGGTCCCCAGCCAGGAGGAGACACTGTTTATATCTCAGAGGGGACAAAACAAAACACCTAAGTGCTGGGGTAAGGTTTAGCTCCTGGTGCCGTATAAAGCTTTTCTGTTTACTTCGGACTCGGTAACTGGGGAAAGCTCAGAATTAAGGGAATTCATTAACTTGACCAACGTTTTATGAGAGGCTTTGTAGGATCACAGACAGATACACACACACACACACACACACACACACACACACACACATCGTTTACTGATCTCAAGAAGTTTACAACTGAGAACAGTGGACCAAGTGACAAATTACAGATGAGCTTAGAAAAAGTCAGAGACAGAACTCACCTCGGCCACAAGCTCAGCAAAGACTGCACGGCTAGAGTGACAGTCCATCTGAGTCCAGACACACAGATGGGGTAACAACAGGAGACAAGAGGCTCAGATATCCCCCTCATCATCACGCCTCCTGAGTGTGCTCTCTACAGTATCCCCCCTGCCTTTCCTCGCCTCTACATCAGCTTTATTTTTTTTTCTATAACCCTTATTTCTACCTGAATTCATCGTTTCTTCTTTTTGGAAAACAATGTTGGTAAATTCCATAAGAGCCAGGATTTTTTATCTTATGTTTATCCCTATACCCAACAACCAGGATGCCTGACATACAAGACATGCAATGGATTGAATATATAAGTGGATGGACAAATAAACTCTTATCTCATAGGGGATCACCGGAATCCGTTTTGCTGGGGGAGAGAAGTGCTACATCAAGGCACAGGTGAAGGCTCGTGTCCCTGAGGTGGGCATTGTGACCAAGCAAAGCATCTCTTCTGAGCTGGTAGGTGCCAACACACACAACAGGTAGACACTGAAGACACCACCTTTTTCCTGGACAGGTTCATGACGAGAACTTAAGTTTTTTGTTTTGTTTTGTTTTCTCTACCAGAAGAATTTATTTGTCCTGCTGGCTCCAAACAGTCTTTCTGACATGATGCCCCATATTTAAAGGTTTAGGGAAGCTGTGTTTTAAAGTGTACTAGATGGGCCAGCCCAGTGAGTATAGGTGTTTGTTGACAAGCCTGATTACCTGAGTTGGATTCCTAGAACCCACGTGGCAGAAAGAACAAACCACCTTCTTCAACCTGTTTTCCACCTTCTACCTGTGTGCTGTGGCTGCACACACACACACACACACACACACACACACACACACACACACACACACAAATGTTTAAGAGCATTCATTTGGGGCTTGGTATTCAGATGGCCCTTATCCATCCGATATTAAATGGCTATCAGACCAGTGATTAAAAGTTCAAAATAGCAGGGCGGTGGTGGCACATGCTTTTAATCCCAGCACTCAGGAGTCAGAGGCAGGCAGATCTCTGTGAGTTCAAGTCCAGCCTGGTCTACAGAGCGAGTTCCAGGTCAGCCAGGGCTACACAGAGAAATCCTGGCTCAAAAAACAAACAAAAAAGTTCAAAATAAAAGATTAAAAAAGTCCATGGTGAAATTTTATTTAAAGGGACTTCAAGAAGCCCTCTAGCTTCAGTCCCATGAGATGTGGGAATTCTTCCCTAAATATTCTGGATAGCTGGTCACCCAGCGTCTTCCAGAAAGCTGGGGCGAAACACTCTCCTATGGATTTCCTCCAGCACTGGGCTGAGATGTTCCCCTACAGTTCTTCCCTTTGGTTCAATTCAGCTTAATGAAGCTACACAAGCCTCATGGATTGTTTTCAGTTGTTAGAGCAAGAGAATTGAATCAAAGACCTTGCTAGCAGGGCAAGTAAGCTACAGCCCCATAATTATTTTTTAAACACAGGGTGTCACTAAGTTACCCAGGTTGGCCTTGAAAGCTTAGGCTAGAGTGGAACTCACTACATAGCCCAGGCTGACCTCACACTCTACACATTTTAAAAACAATTCTTCCCTTTCTTACCAGCGACTTGCCTTTAAGCCTGGTATTTTGTTGGTTTCGTATTTGTGGCCATTGAACTTAAGGCCTCACGCATGCTAGGCAATCACTACACAAGCTACCCCAGCCCTAAACCTGATTGTTTTTTAATGTACTTGAAGAGTTGCATAGTGTCCTAGAAACATATTTAATAATAATATTTCCCATCTTATACTTTTAGGGCTTACAAAGTAGTCACACCCATGACTGTCTTCCATCTGAGCTGTGGCAGGGGCTGTGGAAGGAAGACAGGCTTGGGAGCCATAAAAACATAGATCCACCTGCTGTAAATGTGGCAGGTCTGTCAGCTTCAAACTGTTGCACACACACTGTGCCCATGGCCTTAGAATCTTCTAGAAGATGAATGCGAAGACTGCCACTCATAATTGCTAATTTTATTATGATCTTCTCTGAGCCTTCAGTATTCCAGAGAGGGAAGTGAATGAGCGTCAGATCCCTCAGGGCCGCAGAGGGAACCGGTGGGTAAAGGCAAAGGTGCCTGGAAACCACCTAGTGGTTTGTTCCCATGGGAGCAGCAGCAGGCGATGTCTCAAAACAGAACAAAACACAACCACAAACCAATCCGGGGGCTCTGAAAGCGAGCCAGGATGTCATCTTCCTTCACCCACTCCCAGTTACCCCAGGGTTCTTTCTGTAAGATGGAGGCCAGACCCCCTCGCTCCATTCATTCTCCCTGTGAGCTTGCTGCTCTGCTCTGGAGTCAAGGGCCTTGAGTCAGCATGAACTCACAAATGACAGCCTGGAAGGGGGTGGGGCCTCCTCTGCTGCGGTCCTTGCACTTCTTTCTCTTCATGGCATTACTGTGGAGTTCTGCCACTCCACTGCTGTTTTTCTCACACGTGGGTATGAACTCAGTCTCTCTTGCCTTCCCCGAGAACCAACTCCTGCAGCTGTAAATCACCCAGCTCTGATCATAACTTTGTAGCATGTAACTTTACATTTTTATGTGTGTGTGTGTGTGTGTGTGTGTGTGTGTGTGTGTGTGTGTGTGTGTATGTGTGTGCGCGCGCGCAGTCTTGTGTGGAAGAGGTCACAGGATAACCTGTGGAAGTTGGTTCTCTCCTTCCACTATGTGGGTTGCATAAACTCAGGTCCTCAGGCTGGGTAGCAAGTGCCTTTACCCACTGAGCCGTCTCATTGGCTTTAATGATTTTTTTTCTCATGATAAATGCATGAAAGTATGGAGATGAATATCACAACTGCATAATCTAAAAGTAACTAATGTTAACAGTTTGGTGAACTTTGTGTCCTGTGTGTAATAATCTTCTCAGAAATGCAATTAATTGTTACAAGATTCTTGTTTTGACTTTAGTTCTAAATTGTAGGTTATAATGAATAAATGATAGACCAGCATATGATTATACCTTTTTCTTTCTTTTTTCCTTTATTTTTAGACAGGGTCTCATTACATAGCCCTGGTTGTCCTGGAACTCACTATATAGATCAGGCTGGCCTTGAACTCAGACATCTGCCTGCCTCTGCCCCCCGAGTGCTGGGATTAAATGTGTGAGCCACCATGCCCAGCTATGACTATACTTTTGAAAGTCTTCTAGTCAAACATTTCAGGTATCCTCAATTTCAGATAATAGTATTTGAAAATAATTACTTAACTATGGCAAATAGTTTTGTATTTTAATCTTTGTACTTGCCCATTAGCCCAGAGTAGCTTGTCTTGTGTTTTTGTTGTCTACAGCATGCATGGTAGATCCTCTGATGGATAAAACCCAATTCAGAAAGTACAGTTGGGTAAATCAGGCCCGTCCATAGCTGTCAGTAGCAGGTGACTCCATTTAGAGTCCCTTCAGCAGGTGGGGATTTGAGGCCAGCATCTGCAGGCACTGCCTCAGTGGCAGTATCTCTGTGACTTTCATTATTACCATCTCTCCTTCCACCGCAAAACGTGCTGATGCTGCATGCCGTCTTCCCCAGAACTTAGGAACGAGGGCGCCTGCTCAGTAATTACAGTTACTGAGGACAAACAGGAGGACCTGTGTTCAGTCCCCAGAACTCACAGTGTGTAGCACATGCACGGAGTCCCAGCACTGGGGGTCAGAAACAGGAGGATCCCTGGGAATTCTTCACCAGCTAGTCTAGCCTCTGAGGAGCTCCAATGCAGTGAAAGAGCCTGTCTCGGGGGGAAAAAAAGTGCCTGAGAAACAACACTCAAGGTTGTCCTCTGGCCTGTACTCACTCTCCCTCTCTAAATAAATAAATAAAATTTAAAAGTTGATCCATGCCAACCAACCCTGACTTACCTTTAATAGGGAGAAGTAGGCCTCTCACTCACGGCCATGCAACATATTTCAGGCTAGACGTCACTGCCCGGCTTTGGCCACTGGGAAGCATGAAGAAGCAAGTGTTCCTCCTTACAACAACACACCACTGCCTCCAACAAAAAGCATGACTGTTGCAAAGAAAGGGGGGCGGAGGGTAGCCCACACGCTCCGAGACTGACAACATTCTTGCTCACAGGATGTATCTACACACACCATCCCAGTCAGGCCCTCCTCTCCACACTATGTCAGACTATGATGGGGCAGATTTATGTGCCACTTGCTCTCATAAATTCCTCAACAGTTTTGTATAACTTAAAGTTATACAAAGCTGCTGTGCTCAAAGAGCATTCATTTCCTGGATGGAGCCATTTAATTTAAGGTAAATAACTGGATTACCTGAGTGTTACCTTCCTCCAATAACGTTAAGTTGCTTAATGCAACCATGCGCCCAAGGGAGGAAACACAAATGAAGTGCTGCTTTTACCTAAAGTGAGGGGAAAACATTTTAATTTCTCCAACCTACTGCAAAGCAATAAATACATGAAAGGAACAACCTGGCAAAAATAAATTTGTCTCCTGGGTTATCAAACCACCCTCAGCATCTCGCTGTAGAAGGAAATCCAGGGCTTAGCTTTGAAATCTCAGTGGTGTGCTTGATGTGGGGAACATCTGAAATATGTTTTGTTATAGCTGGGGAACGGAGAAATGGTTTATGTTAAATAATACTTTGAACTGGAGACATTAAAGAACCAATCACTGGCTTTTTCCATTGTTGTTCGGAAGCTGCAGAACAAAACCCCAAAAGATTTTCACTTCAAATGAAGGGTTCCTCTATCCTTTATAGGATTTCAGGGTCTGTTCAATTGCTTTTCCTCAAAAACATCTTTGATCGAAAACATCAGATTAACCTAAATCTCAAAGTTGGTATCAAGTAATTTTCACTTCAACTCAGAACACTTCTATCCACACATCAGGGCTGTCTAGGAGCAGGGTGTTGGGAGGTGTGCTGGGTATGAGAGCCAGTGACTGGAGCCTTAAAGTGTGCATGCATGGTCTGTGCACACACAGAATTGTCCCCAAGTTTGCACAAAGCAAAATAATCCTTTAGTAGCCAGACTCAACATGTTCTACCACATGCTCTGCTCACAGGCATTTCATTTTCACAGGAAGGCAAGATCATGCCAGTTAAATATGAAGAAAACTCTCTTATCTGGGTGGCTGTGGACCAGCCTGTGAAGGACAACAGCTTCTTGAGTTCTAAAGTCCTTGAACTCTGTGGCAACCTCCCTATTTTCTGGCTTAAGCCTATGTATCCAACAGGTAAAGTTTTAAGTTTCTGTCATAGGGCTTGGAAGTCTCCCTGTCACTGTGGCTCTCAGAAGCCCCCTCCACTGGCCTGAGTTGGGACAGAAAGGTAACTCTGGACAGTTGTTGGCAGAGTCTTGGTAACTAGCATAAGAGATAAAAGAGGAGGTGGGTGGGGGAGTGGGGGTGGACCTGCCTGTGGAAGGGAAGGCACAGCAGGGAGACAAGGCAGAAGACAGAGCACCTCAGCATACCTGCAGCTGTTATTTATGACCCCCTTGCTCCTTCCTACTCTGCCCCGTAATCTCCGTTGTTTGCGCCTTCCAATTTTACATTTCTTTATTCTTAAAACATAGCATCAGGGGGCTAAGAAGCTGTCACGCGGCCGATGCTTTATTATATTCAAACCTAGAATTATGGGACAGCCAAAAGCTGCTGTGGGTATAGGCTGAGATTCCTCAAGTGCAAGGCTCGTGCATCAGCTTCCAAGCCAGAGAAAACAAGTGCAGGGTCCCCTGGGGGGGTGGGGTAGGCTGGAGCACACCTCTGAGCCACTTCTGGGTGACAAAGGGCAAGTTAAGTCCAGCAGGCCTCACACTTCATCTCTACTGCAGTCAACACACGGGTCCCCCCAAGGACTACTGTGTAGCGGTGGCTCAGGTGGAGAGGGAGGCCTTGCTCCTTACACACATGAGATGGGCTGTTTTCAGAAAGGTTTTATGGAATACTAGAAGATAGCAATGAGGAAATGGGAGAAAATGCAGGCATTAAACCCATTAGGCTAGGCAGGGCCCTGTTCAGAACGGAAAAAACAATTTACCTTTAAAAAAAGGCAGTTCTACAGATGGATGGTGGGGATGGTGAAGGTGCTTAATGCCCTGAACTGTAAGACTGGAACTCCCTAAAGTGAGCTGCGCCCGGTGGCACTGCTTGTTAATCCTGGCACTGGGAAGGAGGGTCAGATGAAGGGTATCCTCAGCTACACAGTGAGTGAGGCCAGCCTGTGTTATATGAGACCCTGTCCATTGCTATGATTGCTCTACCACAATCAAAACAATACCCTACCAGGCAATAGAAAGTATAGACTTCTGATTCTCCCATGACTAACTGATTCATAGTGTTCACAAGTCTCATCTTGCTCCTAAGTCTGGAGGAGATGCCTACTCTCAACCCACACCAAGTAATGCCATGTCATACCTGGCAGAGGGTGGAGAAGGACCCTGAGGCCACCCACAGGCAGGCTTAGTAAGAAACAATATCCCGTTTAATCTTTACCAACAACTGTTGATAACTACTCACATTCCCAAGACCCAGAGAAATACACTAAGATAAAGAGAGACTAATTTGCCTAAGGTCCTTCAACTAGCTGAGCAGGTGTAAGCTGATTCGGGTCTCCTTGGAGCTCCTCCATCCATACTATTCATGGAATCTAACTACAGCTGCAAGGCACATCTTAGAGATAAACAACAAATTATAAGAATGCTACCTAACGGGGCTGGAGAGATGGCTCAGCGGTTAAGAGCGCTGGCTGCTTTTCCAGAGGTCCTGAGTTCAATTCCCAGCAACCACCTGTAATGAGATCTGGTGCCCTCTTCTGGCCTGCAGGCATACATGCAGGCAGAACACTGTATACAAAATAAATAAATCTTAAAAAACAAAAGAATGCTACCTAACATTTGTATGTTTATTATATACCAAGACCCTTAGATTCAGTTTCCCTTAGCCCTATCACTATCCTATGAATAAGATACTACTATCTCCATTGTAGACAAAGAGATTCAAGCTCAGGGAAACTCTACAGCAAATGCTCTGTGGTACTTCTCATCTCTGGTACTCACCTGTCAGCTGCACTGCAGGATACATGATGCGATGGCTAACCCGAGGGCTGGGATGGAAGCCAGGGTTCCTATCCTGTCCTTGATGTCACTCAGTCTGTGATCTTGGCCAGGCACTTGGTCTGTACCTTGACGCCCTCATACATAAAAACATCTGATTTTCTTCTATACCATGGGAATTTCTTAAAGAATTAACCAAGACAATGTCTCATATGCAAATATAAAGTTTTATATCTATACAGTCAGTCGATTAGGAGTACACAGGGCTGCAGGTTATAGCATACTTGATCAGCAGTGGTTTCAACATATAAGCAGTTTTATATATTTACAACCCAAAGACAGAAGGCATAAGGATTGTGGCATTAGTGTCCACTCCACGACACCACCAAGTCTCCTTGGAGCTTACCATTTTGCTCTCTGCAGCATGCTACCTTATCCCTTGTGCTTATTTATCAATTCCTAATTCCAGCTAGCACATTTACATCTAGGGAAGACCCACAGAGACAACTTTCTGTTCTCTTTCATTAAGAAAGTGAAAGCTTTCTACACACGGCGCTCACCTAGTCTGCTTTAAGTCTTAAGAGTTAGAAAGAGCTTGCCTGGCCACTCCTCACTGCCAAGAGGGCAGAAAATCAGTAGCATTCTGTCTGCCCAGTTCCTACACTGAAGCCAGGAAAAGAAAAAAGGGCCTGAGAACAGAGGTTTGCCAATCGACTTCCAGCCCCTGCACCAGTCAGCATTATAAAGTCAAACGGGAAGCTGGACTGTGGCTCACACCTGTGGCTGTCACTCTGAAATGCAGATCTCATTGCCTCACTCATGTTAAGGAATTAACTTACAGGAAATTTTGCAGAGATCCAAAGACAGAGAAGAGAAGTAGTAAGAAACATTGCTCCCTCCACCACGAGAAGACCGCACAGTGAACGAGGCAACTCAGGCCCTAGAAGACTGAGTAATGAAACCAGGCCTAGTGTTCAGGACGACGCAGAACCTTTCAATCCCGACAATCCTTACCACGTGCGTACCAGTGTTTTCATGACGTGCCCAGACAAATGCATTAACTGTGATGCTGAGAGTGTATTTCTAAGTGAGATTTCATATATCTCCATCTATGTGGTGCAAATTCAAAGCCATTTCCCATGCTTTTTATTTTATTTTATTATTTTTTTTTTGTCAGAGGAAAAAATCTATGAAAATAAATCCTACCAGGAATCTGATCATTTAAAATGTTCCCAAGAGTGTGCCCTCAAGGTAGCACACAGAATGAAAGTATTCTCTTCCCCTGCTTATATCCACTCTGTTCATCCATTCAGCACACACTTGTGGGTTTCCTGATCTTTCTCGGGCAGGCCCTGTTCCCGGACAGTCAACTGCTACTTCTGCCCTCGGGGCTCACATCCTAGACAGGGGATAGGCTCACACACAGGTGACAATATGCTGAGCTGAAGTGCTGGAAATTGAGGTTTGTGAGAATGGCACTAATGTATTAAAACCGCAAATATTCTAAGAAATATTTATCATTTACCATTACTATACTTGGAGAGAAAAAAAATGGAGCATTTATGTGTAGCTGAATTTTTGTTTAAAATAAAGTATAAGCATATATTTTTAAAAAATAGAATGAAAAAGTACAGTGAAATTGAAGCTTCCAAAACCTTCCACCCCATAACAGCTTATTAACAACCATGTGTCCAGTTTATTTGCAGGAGCACACAGAGATAAAAACACACACCTTTTCAGAACAAAGATTCCATTCTGCTCTCCAATTAGAATATAGTATTTTCGAAAGGGTTCTGTCTCTCTGATGTTGTACCATGTTCTGTTAATGGCTTCTATCCAGTTAGCAGCATTTTAACACAGAGATAGGCATGTGCTGAAACTTAATGTTAATTTGGCTTTGATGGGTATACAGTCTCTCCCTCTCGTCTGCTACTGCCAATGCTACTGTGGTGCAGCACGTAAGTGAGGTGACCTAGGTGAGGCAGACCTTGGTGCATAGACTCTATGATGGAAGTATGTCTTTAGCATAAATACCAAAGCATAACTCGGATGCCATCTAAGTAGACAGGAGCTGCACATTTTACTGGAGGTTATCAAACTGTCTTCCAAGGAACACGCCATCTACGTGTCTGTGAAGGTAATGAAAGGCCCCAAGCCCTACCAAACTTCCCTGGACATACGGGATGGCATGGCAGGGGCTACTGAATCCAAGCCTAATGCTTGCAAAGTATAAACCCAGTGACTCTACCCTCCAGTCCCATCAAACCTTTTAACCTCTGCCACTCTCCTAGGTGGATAAATTATGTCTTCTGCTTATTTTGCCCATCTTTAATCATGTGTAAGATGGAACATCTTTTCACACACTAAATCAGCAGTTCTCAAAGGTAGGTCACAGCTCTTTGGGGGTCCCCCCAAGACCATTGGAAAACTCAGATACTTACATTACAATTCACAATAGTAGCAAAATTAGTTAAAAGTAGCAACAAAAATAATTTCATGGTTGGGGGTCACCACAACACCAGGAGCTGTATTAAAGGGTCACAGCATTAGGAAGGTTGAGAACCACTGCACTAAATCATTTGTTTATCTGTCCCCTCCCCCACAGCTTATTCGGTCTACACTGCTTCACATATTACAAACGTATTTTCTAGTTTATCATTTTAGACTAATGTATTTTAGGAGGATTTAAAGCAAAAGGTATTCTCTAAATAACCCAAGGCTTATCAGAAAATTCAGAACACCATAATACTTTATTCCCTAAACTCAAAGAATAACAAGAAATATAATCTGAATAGGCAAACAAAATTTAATATAGCTTATTCCCCAGGTAGCTGGGCTAGATGAATTTGTTCAAGGTTTGAAGCTATCAGGCACTTTACAGAAAGGATGTGACGTGTCTACCCTGGCTACAGATTCCAGTAATCCACATCCCTTGAAAAACTCCAATTATGTCAACTTTCTCCTTTATCATATGCTGAGCATTAAGCAAAAATACTTCAAGCATTTTCCTCAAGGTCTGTCCTTCACATGCTCCTCTAAGGAGAAAGCCTAGAGCAACAGCTGAGATCCCTCCCAACTTCATGAATCCGAAGAAGCCCCTGTTGAACCTCCCTATGAGGAAACACCTCCATTAACGCTTATGCACCCTCTACCCCAGAGAAGTCGCTGCGATTAATCAGGGGGCTGCTGTCTGCTTATTGTTCTAAATGAGCCTATTTCAGGAGATAAGGGGGAAAGCAGTCTGGAGAATGGAAGAATGGTCTGAGGGAGTGAGGGAGGCATTCTGAAGACAACATCTGAACAGATGTCTCAGATAGTGTTTAGGGATTGCTTGTTCTGTTAGGTGTGACAATGGCAGTGAAGTTGTGTAATAACCATTCATTCCTTTTAGAAGTACTTCTATTTACAACTGAAATGTCATGATGCCTTCAATCTGCCTTAAATTCATATCAGAATCCTCTTTCCAGTACTAAAGAGGAGAAAGTCAAGTAAACCTGGCAAGAGGTTACCAGCTGTCAGAATAAACAAGTGTACTGATGCTCCTTTAGGGTTTTCCCACTTTCAAGAAAATGTTAACTTTCCTCACATTGACTAGACTTAAAAAGAACAAGCAGCCAACTCACAGAACAGAGCCAGCTACCTCCAGGATGATGCTGAGATTAGAGACTTTAAAATTAACAACTTGCTCCAAGATCAAGGCCAACCTGGGCAACATACTGAGTTCAAGGCCAACCTGGGCTAGTCTGAGACTCTGTATAACCCCACCAATGCCTCCAAGTAAATAAAAACAAAGGCATCTTGCCAGTATATCCAATGCATATTTAAAAACATACAGAAACCTGCCCTGTAGATCCTTGAAAAGATAAAACAGATATCAAACCGAGCAGAGGGCAAGTCCCTCCCAGTATTACAATCTACCCAGCAGTGGAGTTTTACTTCATCAATATGCTTTTGTTTGGGAACACTGAGGGCCTCTTCTTCTCCATGAAGACAGCATCTCTGTTCTGTTGCTGATACATAGGCAGGAGAAATTAAATGACTCAGCAGTGCTCTGGGAGCACTGGAACTAGAAATGAAATCCAGCCTGCCCCAGATCAGTTGAGTTTAAAATGTACACCCAAGAGCTCTGGGAACCATCACTACAAGAAGATACCTGTCCACTGACTTAAAATTAGTAGTTAGGATGCTCCTTCTGATCATAATGTTTCCTTTTGTGCTCTTATTTAAAGCAAGGTGAGTCACTTCTGAGTGGTAACCTTAGCTCCTTACAGGCACGGAGGAACTTCATTAAACTACCACACAACTTTGTGCTGGTGAGAGACTAAGCAGGCAAAGGTTCCTTGATGTCAGAAAGAATTCTGAGTGGTGGCACAAGTTTGAAAACTTACAACTGATTGTTCTGTTTCTCGAAGCAGTGAACTCTCAAGATCTTATTTTAAAATACTATGCATGCAGTAACCTCATTAAAGGGAATAAAATAATCGTCTTTCAATTCACAGCAGCAGGAAGGAGAGAGCATGACATTTGACCCTAGACTGGACCATGAGGGAATCTGCTGTATCGAATGCAGGCGGAGCTACACCCACTGCCAGAAGATCTGCGAACCTCTGGGAGGCTACTATCCATGGCCTTATAATTACCAAGGATGTCGTTCAGCCTGCAGAGTTGTCATGCCATGTAGCTGGTGGGTCGCCCGCATCTTGGGCATGGTGTAAAAACCACTTCATCTATCAGGGACTGTCAAGCAAGAATTAACCTGAGAGTTGACAACCAAAGAAGCATAAAGCATGTTCTTGCCAAGGAAACACGAAGTATTTTATATTCAACCCGAGTAATGTTTATCCTAAACGATGCAACAGAATCTCTCAACTGTATGTGCAAATACACTGCAAGGGTAGTTGAAGTCTACAATTATTATCCCTTCACTATTTACTTGGCCAATAAAGCCTATTGCAAGTCTTTAAAAGCTACTTTTGAAATAAACATGGAAAGTTATTTAAAGTTTGTCCCAGATCTGTCATATACTTGAATACTTTAATCATGATTGAAATCATCCCAATGGTTCTACTGTTTATAGAGAAATGTTCTTAACTTTCACTGTTATTCCCAGTCTTGCAAATGTGCCTCCCCCCAAAAGGGAAAAAACCAGGGGAAACAAAGAATAGAATTCACCTAAAAGCAAACATTACAACTTTCAATGTAGTACCTCATGTGGAATTATTACCTATAACTCCCATGACAAGTCACTAACAAGGGGCAACACTACACTGAGTCACCTTCCAGGAAGAAAGCATTAGACTAAAGAACACACAAGAAGGTACATCAGACTCACAGGGAGTAACTGTGACATTCATCTTCACACTCCAGTCCATGTGTTTCCAATAAGGAACCACAAAGCAAGAAGCACAATGGTTTTACCTTTGTAGTACCGATCAGGCTGCCAAGGCAGTCCAATTACCAGCCAGTTACTCTCCTAGAACAGGCCTGGGAGAGCCGCCTGGCAGGTACAGCTGGGAAGGAACAGCCTGCTTCCTTATGACATAAAGGAAACAAGCATTGTCTTCAGGAATGGCAATATTAGATCAGGAGGATACGGAAGTGTTTTATAATTGTGACATTTTAGTTTTGAGCTCCATAGTTTGAGAGAGACAGAAAAAAATAACTTCCGTGAAATTTTTACCCAAACAATATTCTAATGTGACAGAAGGGTCTTAATGCTGACACACATTCTTTCCGAACAAGCCTTATGATTGCCGTCTGGTATTTGTCAATTAAAATCTGTAAGACACAGAACTCATAGAGCCCGGCTATCAACCTTAGTGGGGTAAACTGCACTGGCACCTGAGAAAGACGAATAAAAGAACATCATGTCCTGGTCATGTATGATGTCCTGGTCATGCTGTTCTCAGGCAGAAGATACTTTCTGCAGCTCAATTTTTCAAGCTTAATCTTTAAGGTGGTTGCTTTCCTATTAGCCAAGCAAAACATGGGCCATATAGTTCTATCCATGCTCACATACCCACAGAGCCCAGTAATTTGCACTGAGTTCCAGAAACAAGATCAAAAGAGAGCCCAGTAATTTGCACTGAGTTCTAGAAACAAGATCAAAAGAGGTTAGTCAGTCAGTATACCATCCCTAGAAGGATGGAAGCAGTGAGCTTCTTGAGAACACCTACTTGGAGGGCTTCATGTAAGCCAGATCTAGTCTGTGAAGTGAGAGAGTGTGTGTTCCAGAGGGAGTGTGTTGGGGAAAGGTACAGGCATGACACACCATGGGACAAACTGGAAATAGAGCACTTTGGTAGGAAATGTGAAGGTGGAAAAACAGGCAGAAGCTACACCTTACAGGATGTCAACTTGATAGATACAGAAGTGGGAACCAATCCAATTCTAGGCAAGGAGATGGCTGGTTAGGTTTTCATAGTAGGTCAGTCACCTGGGTAGCTTTCCTGAGAACCTAGAGCATTCCAGAGGTCAAAGGGTAGGTTAGCAAGGAGCACATGTCATAACGGAAAGCTGTCTTCTGCAAGATGCTTGCTTCCTTTTAAAAATTCTACCAGATGGAAGCACAAGTAGATGAAAACAGAAAACGTTCTATCAGGTTAAAGTATAACCTTTAGATAAAAATAGTAGATGGTTTACTTTTACAGATGAGGGACCATTGTTATAAAGCATCACTAAATACAAATCCTCTATTGCCTCTAAGCAGGCCAATCCCAAACTACAAATACAGCTGACTTTTGCTATATTGAATTTTGACTGAAACATATCACTGTGTTCACACTTGTATTAAATGATGCCACAATATTTTAGACACTTATTTCTCAGTAATGGTGTACACTATTACTCTTAGAACATCGTAGGCTGGTTTCCAAGGTCCTAATGTGACCCAGAACAGACCAATGGGCTGATTCAGTCTTAGATGTGGTAGGTGTCAATGGGCACACAGAGAAAAGGCTTCACTTACGTATCAGTGTGGTCATATTAACTTGTATCATTCAAGTATGCCAGACTGCATTGCAACCAGTCTAAAAACTCATAGACCTTATCCCTACATCTCTTCTACCACCTAAAATGATTCTAACATCGAAAAGATATGCTAAAATTAGTCAATCCACTCAACCATTTATTTTACATCAGATTTTATTACAGCGAAATACAATCTCCATTTTACAAAACACAAACGCTTTGAGTGGCTTGTTTCCGTGTAAGCTGGCTGTATCGATTAGTTCAATGATGTGTACTTTATAGAAATGACCACACTTTGAAAGCTAACTGGTTTATTGGGAATGGAAGGAACTGACAAAACCTACATGCATTGCTACATAATACTACATGCTGGTAGTATTATCACAAACGTGAAAGTGCAAATCTGAGCAATGACACTAACTTTAGCAAAAAAAAAAAAACCCACTTTATATGCATAGAGTGTTTTGGTTATGAAGGAAAGCTGAACCCCTTTTAAAGGATGTTAAGTATATACAGACGCTCATATTCTACATGAATATACAAGTGTATTTCATTTTGAAAAAAAGATCCAATATTAGAATCAAATTTATAAAGTGAGTTAGTTTTAACTAACTGGAGGAATCACCACAGGTTTTATTTAAACTTGTTTATATTCAAATGTATTTAATTCCTTTTTAGATATTTAATGTGAGGATATATACATATGCATATATATAAATACAGATTTGTGCATGTATAATCTAAGCTTAGCAAATAGTTAACACTATTTTCCAAGACATTTATGTCATTGAACCCTTTTCACATCTTAGTTGTTTTTACATAAAAACATAGGAGTCAGTCTCTAGTATTGTACTGTACATTACCAACAGAAAGACAAAAATTGGTGCTGGGACTGGAAATAATATACCCACACTATGCTGAAGTTGCTCCTTTACAAACACTCTCTTCACCCATGATTCCTAGCAACTGGTTTGGAACCCCAGAAAACTGCCACACACATCCCTTTTTTAAAATTCTCTTCTGATGGGCTGGAGAGATGGCTCAGAGGTTAAGAGCACTGGCCGCCCTTCCAGAGGTCCTGAGTTCAATTCCCAGCAACCACATGGTGGCTCACAACCATCTATAATGACATCTGATGCCCTCTTCTGGCATACAGGCAAACATGCAGACAGAACACTGTATACATAATAAAATAAATGTTAAAAAATAAAATCAAAAAATAAAAAAAAAAAAATTCTCTTCTGAGCCAGGTGGTGGTGGTGGTGGTGGCGGCGGCGGCGGCGGCGGCGGCGGCGGTAGCTCACGCCTTTAATCCCAGCACTCAGGAGGCAGAGCCAGGCAGATCTCTATGAGTTCGAGGCCAGCCTGGTCTACAGAGTGAGATCCAGGACAGGCTCCAAAACTACACAGAGAAACCCTGTCTCGAAAAAACAAAAACAAAAACAAAAAAAGTTCTCTTCTGTAGATAGCTACAGAACTTCTAAAAGCAAAAAGGCAGCCTAGAATACCTACCTACATGTACCTTTTAAACTGACTTGAGCCGGGCAGTGGTGGCGCACACCTTTAATCCCAGCACTCGGGAGGCAGAGCCAGGCGGATCTCTGTGAGTTCGAGGCCAGCCTGGGCTACCAAGTGAGTTCCAGGAAAGGTGCAAAGCTACACAAAGAAACCCTGTCTCAAAAAACAAAAAACAAAAAACAAAAACAAAACAAAACAAAAAAAATAAACTGACTTGAAGTGTGCAAATCTACTGGCAATTACTTTACTTTTTTGAAATGGGACTACTGTGACTTCCTATCTTCTGCATTCCATGTTGTGGATTATTTACTAGCCAAGAGTTTTCTTTTCAAAAGTCTGTATCATTAATTAGCCTACACTATTACCTATCTTTTTATAATGAGTTTGACTTATACTGACAGTCAAAAAACATGGAACAATAAGTCAAGCATGAAATTTCTCTTAGCAGGGCATAATGTGGCTAAACGTAACCAGTTTGTTTTCAGTTAAAATCAGATTCCAAAAACCAGGCATGGTGCAATGTCTATAATCACAGCACTGAGAAGCCAAGGTAGGAGGATTGCTACAAGTCTGGGCCAGCCTGTCCTAGAGATCCTGTCACAAAAAAAACAACAAACAAACAAAAACAAAAAAAACAAACAACAAAAAAAACCCTGCACTCCTGTTACTACGTAAACTATAAAAGCGGTAAAAAGCAACAACAAAAAGGATCTCCATAGGTATACGTTACCACACTGTGCTCAGCCTGTTGAACCAGCACTCACACTTGAAAATAGTCACTGTGTCCTATGCATACCATACAGGCAATAACAGCAACAGTGCCTCATCATAAATCAGTGGCATGGTCCTCTGTTGTTCTCTGTTCAGTTTAAACACGAGGTAGTGATACACGAGTGTCTTGCCCAAATCCTATGCTCAGTGTTTCACTATGACGGCAATGGCCAGACACCGATTCAATGACTTCATCCTAGGGTCCCCAAGGTTCAAAATAATCATTGAGCAACTCGCCTCTACCTTATAAAAACATAAACAGAAAATCTTCACTATCACTGGGAATTGAATCCAAGGCCTCAAACACACTAGGAAAATGCTCTACCAATAACCCATATCCCTGGCCCTGTCTTTTTGGGTTTTTTTTATGTAAATGAGTGTTTCCTTGCATGTATGTATGTGTACTGTGTGTATGCCTGGTGCCCGGGGAGGCCAGAAGAGGGCATGTGATTCCCTGAAACTGGAGTTACAGGTGTTTGTTTGTTGCCATGTGGGTGCTCCACAAGCCATCTTTCTAGACTCCAGCCCTGCCATTTAATTCCTATTAATGAACAGGAACCAAGTTCTTCAAAGCAATAACTTTTCACTTTTCTCAAATGGCTGGGAGGCACTGGAGGTGACTAGTATAACCTCAGTTGTTTACCTTCTCCTTTACTAATTGCTCTAAATTCCTCTCAAGTCATCTGCTTCAAAACCAACATCATTAAAATTACAGATTACTACATAACCCCAGACCTAATGATCCACACCTTCAGGATAGAAGCCAAAGTCTACATTCAAAAAATGAAACAAAACCCCCAAGCTTTCCAGGTGAACTCTATCCTAAATATTATGCGAAGCACCTTCCCAGTGCCATAATTCCAGCTGCCTGATATTTTGAGAAACTGTGATGTCACTAGACGATTAGGTGAGCTAAGATTCAAGAATCGCTATGAAGAAAAAGGCTGTGAGCGCACTTGGGGGGTGGGGCACATCTGTAAACGAAAGGTTTGGTCCAGACAGTATTTAAGATCCAATCTAGCTCTGGAATTCTCCATCTGTTTCCCTTTCGTCTCCTCATCTTGACAGGCAGGAATGCAAATATATGGTTAAGGGAATGAGAGATTCCAAAACAACCTTTAGTCTTAGCAGATGGCCCATAAAAATGTGTTCTGCTGATCTGGTTTTAACAAAACCATTAAATATAAAATCTTATACCACATTTATCCTTAAGGCCCTGTTCACAACCAGTAAATCCATGTAATCCAATCTCATCTCCATATTTATTCTGCTATAACTGTACTTACATCCAAAACAACTGCTTTGGTAAGCAAAGATTACAATAATGTGATGTAACTTGTAATTTGGTGTGTAGGGAAGAAAGGGCAGAAATAAGATGAATACTAGATTGAGAGTTTACTGAAAATACACCATGCAAATTAATTCACATCTATATCATCAGGGTATTCACAGTAAAATTACACTGCAGTACAAATTCTAATTTGTATTCCATCTGTCACGTGTTAACATTTAATGTCATTCCAAACACTTTTTGTACTGATACTTGGGAGTGTGTGTGTGTGTGTGTGTGTGTGTGTGTGTGTGTGTTGTGTGTGTAGCACGGAATCTATGGGCCTCATTCTCTTTTCAGTATGTGGCAAACCCATCAGGCAACCTCCAGCTCTAGGACCTGTGCTCCAATGCCAGATGCCGTGTAACCCAGGCTGGCTTGGAAATCCCAGATTCTCTGCAATCCCTGTGCTCAGAAGACTGAGGCACGGGAGTTGCAGCAAGTTCAAGGCTAGCCTGTACTCCATAAGAAGATCCTACCTGGGAGAGGAAGAGAAGAGGGGAGACCAAGTCTACACTAACAGCATACACTCTACCACTCAGCTCCACCTCCAGCATCAAACCTGTTCATCTTGCCATTGTCTTGGGTGTATAACTTAGGTCTTCTGCCAATTAATCTTGCCTGTCTTTAATTATGTGTAAATTTGAACATCTTTTCACATTCTAAATCATTTGTGTATTGCTTCCCCTTATTCAGTTCCACACTGCTTCACTACAAATATATTTTCTAGTTTATCATTTTAGACTAATATGTTTTAGAAGGATTTAGAGCAAAAGATATTCTCTAAATAACCCAAGGCTTATCAGAAAATTCAGAACACCATAGTACTTCATTCGCTAAGCTCTGAGAGAGAAAAGGGGGAGGGGACAGCGTGCATCAGATGTGGTAATAGCAGCTCTTGGAAGGTAGAGGAGGACTGGAGTCCAAGGTGACAGTATATTTGACGCTAATTTAGGACACTAAAAGAAGCAAAACATGAGGAATAAACAGGGAAGTCTAAAAAGACAAAGCAATGACTAGGTCCACTGAGAGTAGAAAATAAAGACGTCAGTGAAAGACTCTTACTTAGAATTCTGTGGAAACTTACAAGCTTCCAGGATCTGGACCAGGGAAACAGGAGCAGCACTCTGGAATGGGCACTTTGGGGTAAATCTGGCCTATTTCTCAAAATTCCTCTGACAGATAAATCGAATGTACTTAGGTACATTTTATAATGCTTTTAGTCATACATTAGGAAATCTATTTACTCTAACAAAATCCTGAATCTCAACAATGTAAAGCAAATATAGCTAATGAAAAAGCATCTCTATATAATATAGCTTTAAAAATAAATGCAAAAATAATACCAAATATAAAAAGCTCTTAAAGCTGAATGGTAAAAATGATTTATTTATATTCACAAAATATTCGTTATAATTTCTAAGATGCTAGACATTATTTAATAAAGGAATTAAGACATAACAGGCTTAAAACTGGGTGGCTCAGGCATTAAGACACTTGTCAATCTTACAGACCCCAGGTTTGGTTCCCAGCACCCACATGGAGGCTCACAAGTGTCTGGACCTCCATTTCCAGAGGATCTTACACCCTTTCTGGCCTCTGTGGCACTGGATGTGCACACTCACACACAAACATACTGTACATACATTCATGCAAACATACATACACACAAAATACAAATAAATTTGTTGGGGAAAAAGGCTAAACTCTTGAAAATTAGGAAGTGAGAGAGATTTGGACTTGGAATCTTGTGCAGTATCCTGGCTTATTAAATAGTCTCTGTAGCCAGCCTCCCTTCCACTTAGGATCAACAACACTGAGGAAATTTAACATT